GAAATCTCACCTAAACTCCGACCCTCGAACTTTTTTGCGACAACCAACTGCCTCAGACACCACAACATGCGCAAGACCTTCGGAGGGCCGAAATTGCCCGTAGAGCTACGGAATCAACTCGGAGGTAATACTAGACCACAGCTGGGTATATTTTCAGCACTGAGAACTTGCAGATCCAGCAAACAACAAGCGGCGCAACGGACCGCGTAATGGGCCACTGAATCGCAAAGACAGGCGCAAAGCCGATCGCGTAGAGAAGAAGCGACAGAACAAGCAGGGCAGGAAGCCTGCGCCAACACATCCACACAATGGCCGAGGACCGCGTCGTGAGGCGGAATCGGATGATGAGGACGAGGAAGAGGAGATAGATTGGGACAACATCGAATCAGACGCTACACCACCGCCGGCGGAGAAGAAGGAGCCGCAAAAGCCTCTGAAAGGCATACTCAAGACAAAGTCCTCCAAGTTAGAAGAAGCATCGCCTCCGCCTGCGAAAGTATCACGCGCCACAAGAGACAGACTAGCCCAGGACGATGCTGAAATTGCTGCACTGGAAAAAAGATTAGGTGTGAAGGGCAAGAAGAAATCTAAGGGAGCAGATGACGGTCTCGATGACCTGTTTGAGGGCCTTGGAGATCTTGGAGACTTTAGCGACGAAGAAGGTGGTCAGCCTTCAAAGCGTAAAAGGGATGAAGATGACGACTGGCTTGCGAGTAAGAGGCGGAAGGCCCTAGGCCAGGAGCCGGATGAAGAAGAAAATGACGACTCAGAGGCGTCCGAGTCTGACGAAGACTTGGACCTAGAAGAGGCAGACTTTGATGACGAAGACGAGACAGACTACGACGATGAAAGCGATTTGGGCTCCGAGGACGACAATGCCGAAGAGGCTGAGCCAGAACAACCGAAGAAACGAGAAAATCCATACGTTGCTCCTGTAGCATCGGATGCCCAGCCGACAAAATATGTACCACCTGCGCTCAGAGCACCACCTTCATCGGATTCAGAGGCTTTGCTACGTCTTCGAAGGCAGGTACAAGGTCTTTTCAACCGTCTTTCAGAAGCCAACATACTCTCCATCTTACGCGAAATCGAGACTATCTATCAGAACAACCCCCGTGGATACGTCAACAACACACTGGTCGATCTATTGATTGGAATGCTATCAGATCCCACCGCTCTCCTGGATACTTTCTTGAACTTGCACGCTGGTTTTATCGCTGCGATCTACAAAATTATTGGACCAGACTTCGGCGCACAGATGGTAGAGCGGATTGTTGCCGAAGTTGACAGACACTATCAGGCGAATAAAGACGGTTCTGGAAAGCAGACGTCGAATCTCATATCGGTGGTGGCAGAGCTGTATACGTTCCAAGTCATTGGCAGCAACATTGTATTCGATTACATTCGATTTTTTCTCGACGAACTTACTGAAATCAACACCGAACTTCTGTTGAGAATAGTCCGGGCAGCTGGTCCACAGCTACGCCAAGACGACCCGACCTCTCTCAAGGACATTGTTGTTCTTCTCCAGAAATCTGTCGCCAAGGTTGGCCAGAGCAACTTGCCAGTTCGCACCAAGTTCATGATTGAAACAATCAACGACCTCAAGAACAACAAGATGAAAACTGGTATCGCTTCCTCAGCAATTTCGAGAGAGCATACAACCCGGATGAAGAAGCAGCTTGGTACGCTGAACTCACGGAATCTCAAGGCGACCGAACCATTACGGGTTGGTCTGAAGGATATCAGAGATACTGAGAAGAGAGGCAAGTGGTGGCTTGTCGGAGCGAGTTGGCGCAATCAGCCAGGAAACGAGGAGCCGGCCGAGGATAACAGGAGAGTTGAGCAGACCACGACACATATCGATGACGAGGGCGACGAAAGTGAAGTTGATCTTGTGCAGCTTGCTCGTGAACACCGTATGAACACAGACATTCGGCGGGCCATATTCATCTCTATCATGTCTGCCAGCGACTTCAAGGATGCACAAATACGATTGAACAAACTCAATCTCAAAAAGTCTCAAGAAGCAGAGATACCACGAGTCATTGTTCATTGTGCAGGCGCTGAGAAGATCTACAACCCTTACTACACTGTACTTGCGCGTAAGATTTGCTCCGACCACAAGACCCGCAAGAGCTTTCAATTCGCGCTTTGGGATATTTTCAAGAGTTTAGGGGAGAGGCAAGATGGCGCGGACGACTCTGACGATGATGACGACGAAACGGACACTGACACGTCCCTTCGAAAGCTTGTCAATCAGGGCAAGCTATATGGCACGTTGATTGGCCGCAAAGCCATGCCAATTACCAGTCTTAAGAACCTCAACTTCCCCTACTTGCAACCGAAAACTAAGACTTTTGTTGAAGTCTTGCTTGTTACTACCATTCTGGAGGCATTGAAGACATCCAAAACAAAAGACAAGCGTGACGAGCGGGCTGTCCGAGAGGTATTTGTAGAGGCAGATCAAGCACCAGAAATGATTGCCGGTTTGCAATTCTTCTTGAAAAAGACAGTTAGCAAGACGGAGATTGTCGAGGAAGCGGAAAAGGAAACGGTGCGGTGGGCGTGCAAGTCCGTCATGGACATGCTGACTAGAGTGTTGGCTACTACCACATTGGCAGAAGAATGAGCGTTTGACTAGAATACCCTTCTGTTGTATGTTTAATAATAGAGTTATAAAAGAACCAATGCAGTATGGTGCCAGGAGGCGATGTTGAACATGAGGCACTTTGTCATCTTGGCGCCACCCTTGACCCTACGGAAGCCGCATAGGCCTTCCCAGCCGAGCTCCGCAAAAAGCTCAACCACATCTGCCATCCCACGCCCCATCCATTGACGCCTGTCATCCCAGCCGTATACCTCACGGCTTCTTTTGGTTGTGTTCCATCCGGCCATCTTCACCATGTTCCGCTCACTGGCACCCCGCGCCGCTCAACGGGCGTCGCGACCCGTCACCCGAAGCACATTCTGCGCATCCAACATTTACTTCCAGAACCGGTTACGACGTGGATATGCGTCGGAAGCTGGTGAGTCGCATCGCTGTGCGGCATTGGTTTGGTGCATCTGCTGACCGCTGGACAGAGGAGAAGGACCTAGTCATCATCGGCGGTGGTGTTGCGGGATATGTCGCAGCTATCAAGGCTGGACAGGCGGGCATGAAGGTTAGCAAGACACATCCGGACAATGGCAAGATCACAAGGTTGACGCAAGCGGACAGGTCACTTGCATCGAAAAGCGTGGCTCCCTGGGTGGAACTTGCTTGAACGTCGGCTGCATCCCCTCCAAGTCCCTCCTCAATAACTCGCATCTCTACCACCAGATCCTCCACGACACCAAGGGCCGCGGAATCGAGGTCGGCGATGTCAAGCTCAACCTTCCCGCCATGATGAAGGCCAAGGAGAGCTCTGTTTCGGGTCTCACAAAGGGAATTGAATTCCTTTTCAAGAAGAACAACGTCGAGTACATCAAGGGTACTGGTGCGTTCCAGGACGAGCACACCATTGCCGTCAACCTTACTGAGGGTGGCGAGACTACTGTCCGCGGAAAGAACATTCTCATTGCCACTGGTTCTGAGGCCACTCCTTTCCCGGGCTTGACCATCGACGAGCAGAAGGTTATCACAAGCACCGGCGCCATTGCGCTCCAGGAAGTGCCCAAGAAGATGACCGTCATCGGTGGTGGTATCATCGGACTTGAGATGGTAGGGAAATATCCAGTTGTTCTTTTGGTAGACTATACTAACCACACATAGGCCTCCGTCTGGTCGCGTCTTGGCTCTGAGGTTACCGTTGTTGAGTTCTTGGGTCAGATTGGTGGCCCCGGCATGGACAACGAAATTGCGAAGCAGACCCAGAAGATCCTTCAAAAGCAGGGCTTGAAATTCAAGCTCAACACAAAGGTTACCGCTGGTGAGGTTCACAGCGCTGGTGTCAACGTCAGCGTTGAGGCCGCAAAGGGCGGAAAGGAGGAGACTGTGAGTCGATTTTGAGCAACACTAGCTGATTGTAGTGCTAACATGCCTAGCTCGATGCGGACTGCGTCCTTGTTGCTATCGGTCGCCGTCCATACACCTCCGGTCTCGGTCTTGACAACATCAGTCTCGAGACTGATGAGAGAGGCCGCCTGATCATTGACCAGGAGTACCGCACCAAGATCCCCCACATTCGCGCCATCGGAGACTGCACTTTCGGCCCTATGCTTGCCCACAAGGCTGAGGAAGAGGCTGTCGCTGCTATTGAGTACATCCACAAGGGCCACGGCCACGTCAACTACGGCGCCATTCCTTCCGTTATGTACACCCACCCTGAGGTTGCTTGGGTTGGCCAGAACGAGCAGGAACTCAAGGAGGCTGGCATCAAGTACAAGACTGGAACCTTCCCTTTCACTGCCAACTCAAGAGCCAAGACCAACCTCGACACTGAAGGTATGGTCAAGTTCCTATCAGATGCTCAGACCGACCGGATATTGGGTATTCACATCATTGGTCCCAACGCTGGTGAGATGATTGCAGAGGGTACGCTTGCACTGGAATACGGCGCTAGCTCTGAGGGTAAGTTGGATCAGATCAAAAATGTTCTTGAATTAGCACTAACGATTATGCAGATGTTGCGCGCACATGTCACGCTCATCCCACTCTTGCTGAGGCATTCAAGGAGGCTGCCATGGCCACCTACGACAAGGCTGTTCACTACTAGATTCCCCAATTTCGGTCAGGCTTTTCTTTTGTGCATCAGCGACATGACCTTCGAGCTCTCAAACATGCGAGCGCGGAGTTGTGAACGATATTTGTAGAATATATCTGATGCGTCATGCTCGCCAATTAAATGCTAGTGAATGATGCACATGTGATGTGGAGCCGGTAGGGCTGAGATACCCCTGCTAGCGGCGTCTTGTCGCGTGCACGTAACGCGTACCGCGATTTGATGTCGCCATCAATTACACTTCTCACTTGCCCGCTTTTGCTTACTTTTTGCCCATACGATTCTACGCAAGTCACCATGAGTAACGACGACATTGAACAGCGCTGCACTGTATTACGACAGGACCTCAAAGTCTGGGAGAAGAAATTTGCAGCCCAGAACCATGGTCGAAAGGCGGGACGCGACGACATCAAGGCCAATGCCGAGATCTGTATGCACGCACTGGATAAAGACATACTAGAACCATACTAACAAACGTACAGCACAAAAATACAAAGAATACAGCAAGCTGAGGGCACAGCTCTCACGAAAAGCAGCCCCGGAAACACCCTCCAAGCGAACTAGAAGCCGGAACGCAGCCGTCGACACAGAGCGCACGACAAAAGCAGCGCCCAAGGCCATTGTTACCACGCCCATGAAAAGGAAGAGGGAGGACGATGAGCTTTCAGAGAACGTCACCCAAGCGGTCGATCTCCTCTCGCCACAAGGGCCTGCCGTAATCGGACCAACCCCGCAACGTGATGGCATAGTCCTAGGCCTTTTCGATCAGCTGCCTTTTGCACTCACACCTACCAAATCGAGAACTGTTCTTGGAGAGGTGGGATTGAATGTGCCTCAGACACCGAGTAAGGGGTTGGAAGATGGAGCAAGCGAAGCATTGCTGGAGTCTCGAGCGAGAGGAGAGAGAACACCGTTATCGGCCGGAAAGCGCTTTCTGCTGAATCAATTCGTTACACCAAAGAAGAGAAGACTAGACGAGGAAGGGACACCGTCATCTACAATGCATGGGTTAGCGACACCTGCTTTTCTTCGAAGAGACAATGCTCTGGGCGCAATTGACGAAGAAGATGAAACAACCCCTCGTGCAGCGCCATGGAAGCGGCGGGGACTAGGACGCAGTTTGACTGCTATGATACAGGCTATGAAGAAAGATGAGGACGACAAGCTTGATGAAGAGGCGGATATTATGCGAGAACTGGAAATGGAAGAAGAAGGCATAGTGGCTCCAAAGAAACCCAGAGTACCGCAACTCTTAGTGCAAGACAGCCAAGCGCCGATGCCCTTGGGTCCAGATAGGGGTGTTGAATCCGAAGAAGACAGCGAGGAAGAACCGGAACTGGGTCCCGATGGCAAACCTCGGAGGGCATGGAAGAAGAAGGGAATGAAGAGGCAAACACGACGGGTGATAAGTATGGCTTGGTTCTCGTTTGAAACAAGCACTTTAACTAACCATATCCAGTGCGTCCGAACGTTGTTAAGCCTAAGCCAACGCCAGCACCAGAAACACATGATGTAGAAGAGCAGACACGCGTGCCAGAGACGCAAGTACCAGCAGACATAGAAGACGAGTTCGGTTCAGACGTGGACGATGGATCAGACTATGCTAGCGATGTGTCACATACTCCGAAAGTACGGAAAGTGACAAAAAAACCACAAGAAGCAAACGAGAAGCCGAAAAAGGAAAACATTATAAAGACGGCTGCCCGGAAAATCAAAGCTACAGCCAATGCAAATTATCGGAGACTGAACATCAAGGGAAAAACAGGGACCGGCGGAAAGGGGAGGTTTGGCAGGAAAAGATAAATAGGCCACACTGATCTAGTTTGTTTCACACTCGGGTTCCAGTAGCAATTTAACACATATTTGGGGTTCTAGTCTATCAAATAAGAAGAGACGCCTGTTTACTTCATAGAACAGATTCATAGGGACTCTATCTTTATACGACACATAGACTAACACGCAATAAGCCCAAGGGGATAACGCAAATCACAGGTCGTAAAAGTATCGGAAGTGATGTCAGCTGCAGTATCGGAAGGATAGGTAGGCTAGGACTAGGACTTTGGAATCGCCAATAGTATTTCGGGACTTCTGAGACAGTGTGACCATTCTGGTCATCTGCAGAAATCGGTGCCTGATCTGTGATGAAATTCAAGGTTACTGTTTTAATATAAGTTGCTTAGAACGTATCTGTTTCTTATTGTATACATGTATTCCTTTTCGCTACTGTAGACATATGCATAAAAGATGGCATACATTCGTTATCGCACGTTTGAAGGTTACGATACGGCGTGGCGGTTGGTCAGCCCCCAGACGCTAAGCCCAGCAGCACCTCCGACGCCGACGGTCCCCCGACGTACACGGTCGAAGCTTCCACCCGCCGCGGCAAACAACACCACTACCACATCACCCATTCGACTACTGCAACCCACACAAGCTCCCTCTTATTCGCCATCTGTATCAATCAACGAGAAATCAGAATCACCGCACACTATGGCCGAGAAGGAACTTTCCAGCGTGCTCCAGCAGCTCCACCAGACGCTCAAGTCGCACAACTACCAGCAATCAACATCATTACTAGGCAAAGCCAAGATCGCCCTGCTCAACCTCAACGCCCTGATCCCGCAAGAAAAGACGCCACGAAAACATCTGCAGCTAGCACGCGAGACGCTCGAACTCGGCGCCATCATCTCGATCCGCCTCAAAGACACCGAGTCCTTTACCCGCTACTTCCAGCAGCTGCAGCCCTTCTACGCCCTCCCGGAATCCACACTGCCCAAGGATGGCAGCAATTCCAGCAAAGTCACGGGTTTGTACCTGTTGCTGCTGCTGAGCGAGGGCGACTACGCAGGGTTCCACACGCTGCTTGAGACGCTCGAGGTGGCGGCTGCACAGGCGGGCTCGAAGCTCGAGGCTGACCAATTTATCCAGTACCCCGTGAGGCTGGAGCAGGCGCTTATGGAGGGTAGCTATGATAAGGTGTGGGTTGAGACGAAGAGCGAGAGGGTGCCGGGTGAGGAGTTTGGGCTGTTCACAGAGGTACGTCATTCCCCCCCTCCTCCCCACCGGATCTTGCCCGCTGAGGGTGGAAAGGAGGGTTTGAAGAAGACAAAAGATACTTGATTTATTAACACTCTATTGTTTATTTTAGATTCTCATCGGAACCATACGCAAGGAAATCGCCTCGTGCAGCGAACGCGCATACCCCTCCATCCCCATTTCCGATGCCAAATCCCTCCTCTTCCTCGACTCGGAAGGCAGCGTTGTCAACTTTGCAAAGGAGTCCGGATGGGTGGTCAAGGATGGACGGATATACTTCCCCCAGCAGGAGGATGACTACATGAGCAAGGATATTCTGGTTACGAGCGATCAGGTTATTGAGAATACGCTAGGATATGCGCGGGAACTGGAGACGATTGTTTAAGGGGGGGTTTTGAAGAGGACTCTTCTCTTGGTTTTTTTCCTTCTAGTAAGCCAGAGTAGAGTTGCACAAGTGCAGATTAGTGTACGATATATGCATCAAGACACAATTGGATTATCTGCATGCATGATGGACATGCGGCAGTGAGGAGAGTGGTATTTTCGATGATGAAGCAAAAAAGAGACAAGTAATGATTACGACTTTTCCTTGTTCAATCTTTTTTTTTCTTCTCTCTGACAAACAGGCTGAAGCTGTTACATGGCAAATTGGCAAAATCACATGCTTGAACCAAAAAAAAAACTTGCAAGAACATAGGCTCACTAAAGCACAGGCAGTGCATTTAATAGTCTGAGAGGAGATACAGGGAAGGTGGGCACGGAACAAGAAAAAAAAGATATGTACAGACATATTCAACCTGGGTTCCAAAGAACCAAACTAATAAACTAGGTAGTAGGTCCAAGTATTTCAATTCCCTCCACTTTCCAATCCAATATATCCCAGCCTCCCCCTCCCCTCCCAAGTTCCCAACCCAACAAAACAGCCCGAGAATATAGGCAAAAGAAAAAAAAAGAGGACACAACTGAACCATGGTAAGAAAAAATGCGCAAGACAATACATCCCATCAATAAATTTCAGAAAAACAAAACAAAAACAAAAACTCCCGCTGGTGTACGATTTGGTATAATCCCTAACACCGACCCAAACAAATCGCTATAACTAGAAAAGCTGCCAAAAAAAAACAATAAAAAAAGATGAGGGCTATACAAGGGAAGAAAAAAAAGAAGAAAATGCCGGATCGGGGTATCCCAAGGAATATTCGAGGCCAACACAAGGGGTTTTGCAACCAACTCAAGAATCGTTAAACAAAGGTAGATATGATAGATGATGGAATTCTCGAACCAGGAGGAACCCGGAACGAAGAGAGGACATAAGGGATCCATATCGGCTAAAAAAAAATTGGAAAGCAAAGGAACCGAAAAAGATTTCTCAAAAACACCCGGAAAATAGAGAGAGAAAGAGGAGGATGAGGAGAGATAAACGTTAGTTTGCAGTAGAAATGCTATATGGGAGCAAGGCCGTGAACTTCCTCATGTCATGTAAAAGATTTGAACGTTTCAATCATGAAGAAAGATAGATAGGTAGGTAGGTAGAGAGAGAGAGATTCGTCATGTTATCTTTTTCTTTTTGCGTTTGGTCGTTAAAACATCGTAAGCGTTATCTGGCGGGGAGATCATCATGATCATGACGGCGACGTTGTCTTGGCCCTGAAAAAAAAGGGTTTGGGTGGATGTAGATGTCTGTGACGTGACAAATAGCAACTAGAGGCAAAAGAACAAGGTGAATTTGCCGAAATCAATCTACTGTAAACTTTCAGTGTCGGTGCTCCACAGCTTGCTGTTCCCCTGTAGCCACGGCAACGAGCGCTTCCAGTCGCCTCATGTCGTTGTTGCTGTTGTTATTGTTGTTCGGCTGGGCGGGCGATGGACCGAACGTCACGGGTCCCCGCTCGGAAGGCTCACGCTGTGGATGATAGCCTGAGCTAGAACTCGAAAGACTGTGGCTATGGTAGTGCTGATGTGGCTGTGAGTGTAAAGGATGGGGCCTTTCCATGATGGATGTCGCGGGCGTGGACTTGTGATCTTCAACAACAACTGGCGCCTCCACGTACCCGTTGCTATGGACAATAGCGGGGTGGTAGTCGATCATGGTCCCTGGCGTCGGCACTCCCTCACTACTGCTAGAATCCTCAGGTGATGTGCGCTGCATTGCCCGCTGTGGTTGACTCATGGGCCCATTGTACCAAGCTTGTCGTTTGCTCTTTCGTGGAGTCTCGGGCTGCTCCTGGGACGTCCGTGGTGACGAGTTTATTGACGGGATCTGGATAGGCTGAAGGTTGGCCGGCTGTCGACTGAAGTAACCGTGCGGGGCTGTCGTTGGCCTTGCGGTACTTGTCCGGCCTGCACTGCCGGGATACTGTTGCGACCATTGCTCTCTTTGCGAACCCGGGCCGGCGATGTTCAGTCGATCGATCTCCCATGAAATGCTTGTTCGCTTGTGATGGCCCCGATTTGGCGGGGGTTCCCTTGGTGCATGGTATGTCAATGGGCGACCAGGAGCATCCACCTGCATCGGACTTGGCTGACGTCGAGGTAGTGTTGGCGGAGGCGGAGCATGATCAAAGCTCTCAATGCCCGGAAGTCTGGTAGTCTGTGAGGCAGCAGGCTGCGAGGTGTACAATGGTCGTGGAGCATCAGGTGTTTGGTGATAGCCCAATCCACTCGTCGCTGGCCGAGGGCCAGAATAGGTTCCCGGGTGCCAAGTTCGTCGCCTCCAGTCTGCATCGGCGTTAGAGTCGCCTTTGGACTCGGAGAAGTTGGAGACGGTAGGACTAGCGTATGCGCTGCTTTGTATGGAATATGTAGGAGGGGCTGTCGATTGCAGAGGTGTGATATAGGTGGGAGGGCCTTGTCCAGGAGGGCCAGCAAAGGGGTTTGGGTTTGCATTGGACGAAACAGACTGTCGACGTCCTGGTGGCGGTGGTCCAGCCCAGGATACTGGTCTTGAAGTGCTTGTGGCAGGAGATTGCATAGTTGATCCAAAGTGAGCAGGGCTACCAGTGGCTGCGGAGAAGGTAGCAGATGTAGGCGTTGTAGGTGCATTAGAGGGTGTGTCATATTCAACAGGCCCAGGACTGCCCATCATAGGCGGATCATATGCACTTGCCGTGTTGAGCGACAGGCGTGCTCTGGCACTCGCACCACCATCACTAGCCATGGCGAGAGGTGGGGGTCTGCGGCGAATATCTGGTGATTGGGCTACGCTCACACTTGACATGGTGGATGTGATGCTGGAAGCTGACAAATTCCTGCTGTGGCCACGACTGTGTCCGCCTGTGCTGCCCAGTGTATTTGCACGAGAGCGGTTCCCAGGTGGGCGTACGCGGTCAGTTCGTATTTGGCGTTGAAACCTCGTGCCTGTTGCGGCGAGGGATTCGGACGGGATGTCTTCATTTACATGGACAGTTTGTGCATGTTGCCGCAGATTGTCGAGACGAGAGAAGCGTCTGGAGCAGTGGCATTGGAAGGGCCGTTCACCCGTATGTTTACTGAGAAGCACGTTAGGAAAGTAAGACAAGTCGAACAGCAGAGCACGTACCGAATGTGCCGTGCCAAATGTTCGCTCCGGGTGAAGCTCAAGTTGCAGGGCGGGAAGTCTGTGCAGAAGAAGCGCTGTCCCTTCTTCTTCTTGGACGGCCGGTTTGAGTCGCTTGTGACGCTCTCGTTGTCGGATCCGTCCTTGTCATCGTCGCCGTCGCCCATCTGTACGTCTTGTTGTGTGGCTTTCTGTGCATCTTCTCTACTCTGCTCGCTCTTGTTCGAAGCTGACGGTGTTTCGCTCAATTCGCGGGCGGGGGTAAAGGGAGACGATGGCAGTGGGCGCTGGCCAGCAAGTCCTGCAAATGTATTGCGTGTGGGTGTCTTTGCGGCCGGATCTTCTGCCCGGACATCTTCCGCGGGCTTTGGGTCTGCAAAGAACCTGTTATTTGGGCGGGGTGTTGTGGGAGTTGTCTCGTCGCCTGGACGCCCTTGTGGCGGCTCCGGGACCGGCAGGGTAGTGTTGACTGCTTGAAAGCTAGACATGGTGGAGAAGATGGTGGCTTAGCAGCCTGAACTATCCTCCTCTTGTCGCGTGTGGTGCAATGTGCGGTGCGCACGTCTACAGGAACGGGGCGCGTGTTACGTCGCGATGTGCACAATGAGAAGACGCTTACGACGGGCGCAGGCGATGGGGGGCAGAGTGCAAGGTTAACGTAAGCGCAGAAGGCAGGACGCAAGCAGGACGCTTTGAGCGGCGCGATCAGAGGAACAGTGCCGGGCGTTCCTGAAGCGGGCGGCAGAAGGCTGAAACGGGATGATGACGAATGAAGAGCGGCGTTGCAACAACATCCGGGCGCTGCCTCCAGCGAGCGAAGACAAAGAAACGGCGGTGCACAAGTGTGGTTAACAGGATATAGTGGGTCGCGGCGTGGATTTGTTATGGACGGGTCGAGGGTGGACGGACCAGGCGTGTGGTGGAGGTTGAGCAAGCACGGATGCTCGGAGTTTGGGTGGGTGGTGAGTGTGATAAGGCGCGTGGTCGGATGCCTCAGGTGGCGGGGAGGGTACAGCTACTAGTAACAGCCCCTCGTCGACGGGGACCGGGTCGCAGCGCACACACACAGGCACGGGAGCCGCAGAAGACGGACAGCAATAGGAAGGGCTGGGAGTGGGGATGATGAGCAGGCGCAGCCAGCAGAATGCTCGGAGGGGGGTGATGGTGTGGTGGGGTGGGGGGAAATGCAGGAGAGCGGGATTCGAGACAAAGTCACGATTGCGTCGCGGCTAGATGGTCGGAGGGGTTGGCTGGGAAGGCCGGTAGTAGTAGTAGTAGTAGTAGTAGCAGTAAGTAGTAAGTAAGGCAAGTAAAGTAGGTAGCAAGCAAGAGCGAGTAAGTATGGAGAGAGTAAGGCACAGGACGGACGGCATGCTAGCAGGCCTGGCCTGGCCCAGCAGCAGCAGCAGCAGCAAGCACCTGGGCTGGGGTTTACTTACTTACAGCAGCAATTAGTGAGCCAGCGGCGACAAGGACCATCTGGTCTGCAGATCCCTGAAGCCCGCCTATGGCATGCAAGCCGTCCAGGCCCCCGTCGTGTCCGCCCGTCAGACTTGCAGCCCGCAGTCATACTACGCTCACTCTAGTGTAGACGACGAGCAGGCAGAGTAAGCCAGGCGTGCGAACAAGTGCTGCACATCCGACTCCGACTCTGCACGCCGCGACACGCCCTTTTTCACGTGTCACCATGTCTGCACCTCGACTAGACATGGCCCGTTGGCTGGCCACGCTGTACCGCCGTCGTCTGTCGGTCCCAGCAGCCCGTGGTGAGCTTGCCCGTGCGGCGGCGAAGCAGTTGCACTTGGGTTCGACGTGCATGCGAGGCTGATGCAAGGGGGGGACTCGAGAGCAGATCCACACAAAAAAGTGTTGTACCTTTGTACCTTGCCGAAGCGAACGACTAGCATCCGTCGCTCTGCCGGACTTGAGCGACTCGATCACCGACTGGCCGTGTCGCCTCGTACCACAGCGACCCGATGCCCGGTGCCCTTCGTGGTTGTGGCTGTGGTTATGGTTGTGGTCGTGATCGTAGTCGAGGTCGATGCTTCTGCTCCTTACCACTGCTGCTGGTATTGCTGGTGCTGCTGGCCAAAAAAAAACAGGCGGGTAAGGCGGCCTCGTCACCTCATGAGCCTGGCTGTCGAGGCGGTGGGCGATGGATGCTCTGTCGACGCCTTTTGCAGCATGCTGACAGGGCTAAGGACCAAGGCCCCAACTGGCTCGGCCACTGGCTCATAACCCTACCCTACCTGGCCCTAACTAACACTGCGGACGTACGCGGGACGATTCCTTTAGATCGCAAGGGCCATGGTCATCTGCGCCTCTTCACCATCGTCTGTACCATACTTTTTTTTTCTCCTCCCCCTCTTGCCCTCTTGCCCTCTTGCCTCTAACCCCCCCGCCTCCCCTGCCACACTCCACCCAAGCCACCAGACTTACTTACAGGCCCCCAGAATCCCATCCAAACCCCATGCACACACACACACACACAATATTGCTATTGACACGTTGCCAATCCCCATTGCCACTCGCACATATGGGCGAAACATGTTTGTATAGACAAGTATAGTATACATACATGTATGTGGGTGTGTGTATCTGCACGTGCAATGTGTACACACATACTACTTACGTATGCAGGCCGGGACAAAAGTGCCTGTAGGCGTAAGCAAGTCATACTCTGGTCCTGCAGCACAAACTCGACTCGCGTGGCGCGCATTTGTCGTCGAAAACCCATGATACTTAGTCCTTGTGCGCCGGTAGGGACTCGCCTGGATGCGTGAAACAGGCCAAGCCAGCTGGCGCCAGCGGCGGTGGCATGCTGCATGGCCCACGCTTGGTGTTGAGGGGCAATCCTCGCACGCCGCCCCATTACTCGCTACTACTTACTTTACTTACTGCTACCGCTACCGCTACCGCTACCGCCCACACGCTAGTCTTGCCCACTCCACCTTCCCTCTCCCACCCACCACTACCCCGCCATGTGACGCAACCCATCCCCCTCCGTCCCTGTCTGCACTACGTCTCCCCCTACGCTACGCTACGCTACACTACACTACACTACACAAGCACACGCCGTACAAAGTGTAAACAAAAAAAACTACTCGCCTTGCACACTCGTCTTCTAATGCATTTATCGCTTCCAAATCATCCACGCCACTTGTTTTTTTGCCTCTACTCCCCCCCCCCCAAATGCCCCACTGCAAAGCACATGCATCATCCGTGGCCAAGCTGCTATCACACTGCTTTATTCTTCAACTCATACACTCGTTGCCTATCCCCTTTCTATCCCACCCCAACTCCACCATGCCAATCCCCTTCCTTCCACTTCGCCATACAATACAAGAGCGTACATCTAACCCATACGTGCTTACTGAACAACCTGAGCACAAAAATACGTTAGCACAGTCCTTGCACACAAACATACACACATGCACACAATCACTGTCCTACCTTTTCTCGGAGCTTGCTTATCCATTGAACAAGACTCTCGCCCTGGTCGGCTCGGTCTTCCACAAGCAATGTTTGCGCCCACAGCTTCAGGCTCGGCTCTCCGTCCTCCTTGACAATGTAGAGCGTAGGCAGCGTAATAGACCCTACGCCCTTGGACTTGTGATCTCTCGACTTCTCCACCACTGCTCCACGTTAGAACATTCCATCCCCAATCTCCTTCCCACAACCCTGACTTACCTGCTCGCACTCGCTCAGAGTATTCATTGTCAAGAATAGGCAGTGATGCTTTGCCTTGCTTCAACTGTGTACGGTCTTCAACACCAAACACATCCGCCAACAGTGCCGGGACAGCATCGCGCCCAATCCACCTACTCACGTTAGCTCTTCTGCACCACCTTCTCACTAGCACATCACCTACAGGAACTGGTTGACTCCGTCATCGATGAGGTATAGACCATACGACACAATCAATCCGCTCGACAAGTTCAATTGAGGTGGCATCGTAATCTGCCCAGTCGTAGGCTCCGGCACACCAGCATCATCCGGCATGTCCTAAATCATGTTAACCGAACGACTTACTGCTTGATCTTGGACAAAGACTTACGTGCAGAGAGTAGAAACTCGGGTAAATGTACTGCACAAGCAGGCGCAGCGGCAAGGTCGACAAGAGATCCAGCGCTGCTGATCGGAGATCACTTGGAATTTGGGCGCTCTTACGAAGACCAACATTCTTGATCAGACCCAGGAATAGGATGGGGAGAGCGCGGAGGTTCTGAGGCAATTGCAGACCACCACCGCCCATGCTGCCTCCTGCCAGCTCTTTCCTGTAGGTTGACAAAATCTCAATCATCTTTGCCTGCAGCGCATCTCGTGCCGCATCCAGACCACTCGACAGCGCTCGCTCAACCGCCTTGTGGCTGAAATACGTCGTGATTGCCTGCGCATCTGCCGACGCATACACCGTCGCCAGATTCTCCGTCGTCGGTACCGCAAGTGTCAAAACTCGAATGCGCCGCTGGCCACCCGAAGTCGTGTGCAGCACCGCCGCCTGGAGACAGGCAAATGGTCTTGAAATCGTTTCGTCAATCGCAACTTCAATTACCACAGCCTGGTCTCTCGGGTAGGCTGGGAAAGCACACAGATCCGAAGAGCGGTTAAAGAAGTTTCCGTAAAAGGCAGACATCCTCAATCCAGTCGTAGCACGCACACGGAGCACAGCCTCAAGACCAATCTCAGCAGATAGGTAATCAGCAAGCTCCGTCGCAATCTTGACGACATCTTCCTGTCTTGCCGCATTCCATCCAGGGTAAAAGTACGTCTGGCCTGCCGTAAATCGAGGAAGGTTACTGAGCGTAGCAACATCCTGATACGCCGACGAAAAGAGGAACATATCCACCGATACTTGGTTCTTTGAGCATTCCACGGCGAAGGACTTGTACCAGTTGTTGGCTGGCTGTAGGAGGCTGCCTTCCTTACCCGTGCCCAACAGCGACTTGTCTTCTCGTGGACTCAGAGCGGCGTGGCCAACATTGGGCAGAGATGCGGCAATGACGGTAAGCTTTCCTCCAAGCGGAGAGATGAGCTTGTGCGCCGACCGGAGAGCTGATCCCAGAGCGAACCCAGGAACGTGTGTGTTCTGGAACATGGCAGGAAGGCGGTCCAGGAAAGTTTCAATGTTATTGCGACATTGGCTAAGGCTCACAAGGAGATCTGAAGGCATGGGTAGGTAGGGCTCGTCAAGATCTGACACAACCAGCTGTTGGGGCTCATTGGACTCGCTGTTGTCCGGAGGGATTCCAAAAAAGTGGAGGCCATTGTCAACTGCCATGAAGCCGATGCGTGTTCTACCATCGGCATTGGGTATCCGGCCAAGAGCCTCCTTGATTACTCTCGAGACGACTGCAAGAAGACCGTTGTTGACTGCAGCCTGGGTACAGTCCAGAATGATGTAGTAACACAATGGCTGAGGCGGGCGAACCATGTATTCCTGTGGCGCAACAAACTCCGTGACGGCATAGTTCAGCTCGGGTCGCTGCCAGCGATCCACGCTCTTTTGCTGCGCCGCGTCCCAGTCGAATGCCTGTGGAACGTCGTTTGTCAGGTTGCACATGTTGCACCTCCACCTATGGCCATGGTCTAGGAATGAAACAAATGGGTTGATGTAGGCACGGCATCGTCGACAACGGCTGATGATTTGGTCCTGCACTACGGGTATCGGATCTTCAGAATCGTGTAGACTAGCGTACGGGCTTATGACCAAAGCAAAGGGCAATTTGCTCTTCTTGAGTAGGTTGTGGTTTGTGGGGATAGTGTTGAGCGTACACCGCACATACTTGCTCGATTCGTTCGCAAACTCGGAGGGCGTGGCCGCAGCGTTGGCTGGTAGGTTGATCGGTGGAGGAGGGTTATACAGCTCTGAGACGTGGAAGGGCTGAGCAATGAGATCCGAGGGAAACAGTTGATTCTGCTGAGTAGCTGCTGTGGGTTGCTGGGCTTGAGGGGCTACCTGTCCTGGACCCAAGTTCATCTGTCCAAACTGCTGGTTGAGGGCATTTGGGTCTTGAGGCGCAGGCTGTCCATATGGTGCAGGCGCTCCATATCCGGGAGACGGTGCACCATATCCAGGCGCAGCAGCAGGTGCACCATATCCTGGTGATGGTGCCCCGTACATGGGCGCGGGCGCACCATAGCCTGGTGCTACTGGAGGGGGGGCTGCGGCTGCGGCCTCTTGTGTATTCGCACCGAATTGGTATCCCGTTCCTGCTGCATAGCGGTCTCTCTTCTTGCGGTCCGCCATGTCGAACGTCAGCGGGAGTTTGAAATCGGAAGAGGTGCGGGTTGGGGGTGGAAGAATGGCAGGACTGGCGGACTTGGGCGTGAATTTAGAGGTGAGGTTATAGCTCGATGTGTCTTCTTGGGGAACGGCACATTCCGCGCTAAGGGACCCCCACCAAAATGTGCACAGACCCGTGTATACCACGATATACTACTAGGTGGGACAAAGTGTGGAACACTCTTTTCTTAACCGTCAGGCATCCACTTAGCCAAAAATTTTCCTGTTACTCTGAGACACCCTTACATTATTCCAGGCAACACAGACCTCACTTCTAAATACGTGTCGACACGAGAACGGACTTAACGACGATGGTAGGAGACACATTTGACTAAAACATCAGATCGTTATTACTCATTAAAACATTAAGACTTTCGCACACAGCCGTCCTCCATGATTAAGCCACGTTAGCAACTTCTTGTCTAGGAGTCTGCTGATGCTGAGCGCTGACCCTGTCTGCTTCTTCCAGTGGATAAGCAGCCGATCCAGCTTTGTCGTACTGCACACCAACTGGACTCTCGCTCCTCGTTGTACCCTCATTGGTGGCAGACTCTGGAACAAAGGCTCCCGCCGCCGCAGTTCCTGGCATCGCACCTATTCCGAGGTTGCCTGCATTCGAGTGGATGGGTTCAACCTCTAACTGGTAGCGGCGGAGATCGTCCTCAGCGTCATTCAGAACCTGACGCGCTGTTTCTCCCTCAGCAAATGCGGGGTGTGCATCTCCTGGTACTATTGGAGTATCATCGACCAAGTTCAAGAGACGACGAGCGTGCTTCGCCAGGATTATCTGCTTCTCTGCCCGCTCAATGGTGGCTGCAAAGTGGAGGTCATAAGCCTCCTTGAACTTTTGACGGGTCTGCAAGAGTCAGCAAGAGGTATTTGTTGCAAAGGAATCGCCATACAATATTGTTGAGCTGTGCTTCGGCCACCAAACTCTGGGCCTCTGCACGGACAAGCTCCTGTTCGAGCTGAACTATTTTGGTACTCTGTGGTTCCTTGTACTTCAGCTTTGCGATTTCATCAGATACCTAGAAAGCTGATTAGAACATTGCGAGCCAACGAGAACGCTAGAACATGCCTTGGCCTTGTGGTCTCGGCTGGGCTGCACTGAACTCTCGGTATTGCGGATCTGCTTGAGGATACTACGGTAATCCTCTAACGATTGTGCGAAGACATCCTCCTGTTCCCCAATTTCCGCAAGCAATACTCCAAGTTTGTCGGAAATATCCGAAATAGTCTCGTCCCCCGTAGCCTCACCCCATTCAGACAGCTGCTGAGCGATACTGATTCGTTCGCGCCCAGCAGCCTCATGAGCCGCAATGGCATGATTTTCGGTCTTGATGATCTTGAACAGCTTCTTCGAAAGCTCTGGCTGTTGCGTGCCCCGGAGAGATGCCATGGTAAAGCGGTGCTTGGGGGCGGACTTCTCGCCGCTGCCGCTACCCTTCTTGGAGCGTACTGAGAGCGATCGATTCCTGAACAGAACATGGTGGTTAGCCACGGCTGTAAAACACGAAATTAAGAAGGCAACAAGGGTTGATTGTTGGCATGCAATCCTGCTGAAACTTTGCCCTTGGCAAGGCACTCTCTTGCATAACAGATTCCGAGGAGCAATCAGTGGCAGATGCTCTATTTTTGGAATTGTAGAGATGCAATGCGAAATTAAGCCAAGAGGCCGGACTTACATGGTGTCAGAGTTTCACTAAACAACAGGTAGATGGCGTGGCGTATGTGTACAGTTATCTTCTGGATACGTTTAAACTGCTAGGTTGTGCTGATGCCGCAAGAAAGTAGGCAAGTTGCCCAAGCAGGCTTGACCGGGGACAGAACAAATTACGGAGTGATACTGCGGAGCAACAGCTTGTATGAGGCGTCCAGGGCAGGTTGAGATGCGAGGATACTGCAATGGGGGTGCTGGTGGGGAGTGAATTACTGCATGAGCTTGGGTCTGGTGGGGGGGAGATTGGGGAAGTCGCGCCAGACACGGTGATGTCATAGTCGTGTCAAGCGGAAGGCGCGCAGGTTACACGCACAGCCTGTCGCCGCTTCCTTTGGGTGCCGAGTGATCCGCCTCTGATGGCTATAGGTCGCAGGCTATGGGCGGCAAGAAATATCAGTCTTGGACTTTCTGATAACACTGCAGGCATAAACCGAAGCGTCTTGCTTGCCGTCTATCCATCGGGCACACCGTCCGCGGAGGCGCGCAGCAAAGTTTGGTGCGCAAGGCACATAAGTACATGCATACCTACATAGTTACATGGCTGGATGTCGAGGTGTAAGTAAGCAGCCGGACAAGTAGCACACGGCAGTTGACGCGAAAAGCTGTAAAGCAAAGTCGAAAGCACTGACGGCCATGGCGCCATGATATGAACGGCTATCCCGGTCGGGCCACGGGTGCCGCTCCAAGTGCCGGTCGTACTCGAGTGACAGCACGATATATTTGCGACCGCGAATTCTGGGGTAGTCGAGGCCCTGCGTACGGCGAGATACGGCAATTGCGTAACTCATAATCTCGGTCGCAATCCAGCGGAGGGCCAGTAAAATGGAGCGTGTTTCTGCCATGTAAGTACTTACTAAGATACGCAGAATCCATGAGTCGAGATACGAACCTGTAAGGTATCAGGTAGACTGGTCTTGTCAGCGCACAATATACACAGGACAAACGCCCCCCACAGAACCTGGTAGGCACTGTTATGCAAACTATGAGGCCGCTGCTGGTGCTCCTTCATGTCACCTGATGTCGAACGGTCCGATCCATAAGTACAAGGTGCCATTTGACTGCAGCCACAACTCCGAGCCGGCGTTTCTTTAGACGGGCCAATCGCTTCACTTACTGCGCTCCCGCAAGCGCCCTAGGCCGTTGTCGCCTCCAGGGGGGCTAGGGGGGGGCATAAAATTCCGCGCTGGGCTAAGGAAATCCCGCTCTTACCTGGTGTACTCTTACCACGGCAGCCTAAACGAGTAGGTGTTAACAGAACAAATAAAGCCTTTTGTGTTTACCGAGCACTGTGCCGCGTCCACAAGCGGAAAGCCAACGTGCATGCAACAACCCTGGTCCGCCAATGAGCAGAGTGGAGCGCACCCGTCACTATAAACGCCAAGCCCAACCTACGTGCGGCAAGGCTGCATGCTGCGGCCCTGATTTCGGCTGCATATTCATCTATACCATGCCATACGACACTTGCCCATCTGTGCGGACTTCTCGTGCCCGTTACTCCGGCGTACAGGCTCATCTTTCTTGGTATCTTCTCCAAGACCTCTATTTGTTTCGAGGCATCAATGGGGTAAGGAACATTCTATACATTGCCAATACATGCCCATCCTAGTCGATGAGATGACCAGGATCAACACGTCCCTCGTCTACATGCAAAACCATGCCACTCTTGAAGCATCTGGCCCTAGGCTTTTGGTCAGCAGCGGTAAGTACTTTTTTTCTGTCCTCTGGACGCGGTACATGGATGGACATTCCACATGCCGATACCTCAACCGAGCCGGCGGCCGCGTCATGCAATCAAGTCGTCTCAATTCCAAAGAACAATATTGCGCTTCGCCAAATCGCTCAACATATGTATGTGAACCGCAAGGTTTGCCCGGCGTTAGAGTTGTGCAGTACTGCAATGCCCACCGCTAAGGCTTAGCGACCTCGCAACCAGCTTCTCGAACGCATCGCTTTTAGTAAACTTTGTAAGCCAGGATCCAGTTCCACTATTTGCTTGGCCTCGAGGCACGGTGACATGATCAGCACACACCCTTGGCGTTGCAACTGCTTTCATATCACACTGCGCTGATTCGATGTTTCCGTCCAGAGGCGCGGGGCCTCCAGCCGTGTGTTGAGCAAAAAAAGGAAATATCCCAGTGTGCGTTTTGTGAAAGGTCTCCGCATGCGTGGCAAGCACAGTGTACATGCAGAAAACAAAAACGTTATCTCTCCTAGACCCAGGGATCATCAACAATCGCCATCTCTCGTGCTAGTTTCATGGCCGACCCTATGCCTAATTAAGGTAACAGATGCGTGTCAGTTACATACTTACACACATGTAGCATAAACTCAGTCCACTCAGAGGTCCGATAATGCTAATCCTTACCCCAGACCTATTGTGAGTACACGTCCTACCAGTAGTAAACCTATCCACCAGCTCGGGATCTGCTAGCACAGATGACCACATTCATCTGGGGAAATTGCCATCATGTTATTCGGTCATTCAGGACTGCCGGTTGCCAGGATCTAAACTAGCACGACGTTGAAGCTCGGGTTAACCGTCCGATGCTTTTTGGCTGACGATGAGATCCCGGAGGCGGTATAAAGGGACAACGCCATCTTCTCTTCCAGATCATCTCACGTCGCCCCAAGCAACTTTCAAGATGGTCCGGTCTAACGTTTTGACAGCATTTGCTGCTATTTGCCATGTCGCTCACGCTGGTTGCCCCTTGATGGGTGATCAACCAATCGCCCGACGCGATGGTGCCACTGCCATGTCAACCGATGACTTCATGAAGCAGTATGAGATTGACGACAGCAAAGCCTACCTCACCAGTCCTGTAGGAGGGCCCCAACCGGACCAAGAGAGCCTCTCGGCTGGTGAGCGAGGTCCATCACTGCTCGAAGATCAAATTCTCCGCCGGAAAATCATGAGCTTTGGTAAGAGCACTAAAAATCTCCGTATCTGACGATTTACTAACCGATATGTTTAGATCACGAGCGTGTTCCTGAGCGGGCCGTGCACGCCCGTGGTGCCGGTGCTCACGGAACATTCAAGTCATTTGGTGACTGGTCTAACATTACCGGAGCCTCGTTCCTTGCCAATTCTGAGAAGGAAACGCCAGTGTTCATTCGATTCTCTACTGTTGCGGGAAGCCGTGGCTCCGCCGATACTGCCCGAGATGTTCACGGCTTTGCCGTTAGGTTCTACACCGACGAGGGCAACTTTGGTAAGCACCACATTGACGACACACATGTGCGGTATTAACAATCTCTAGATATTGTCGGCAACAACGTTCCTGTTTTCTTTATCCAGGATGCCATCAAGTTTCCTGACCTCATCCATGCTGTCAAGCCCAAGCCAGACAGTGAGATTCCTCAGGCAGCAACGGCCCACGATTCGGCATGGGACTTTTTCAGTCAGCAGCCTAGCACTATGCACACCCTCCTGTGGGCTATGAGTGGACAGTGAGTGGACATGTAGAATGTTTAACCAGGACTACCACTGACAAGTTATTTCTTTCTCGCAGCGGTACCATTCGTTCCTACAGGCATACCGATGGCTGGTAAGAACAACTTCTCTCATGTTTAGATGAACAATATACTAACTCATTTGTCTAGGGGTGTCCACACCTTCCGCTTTGTTCGCGATGACGGCAAGTCCAAGCTCGTCAAGTTCCGCTTCCGATCTCTTCAGGGCAAGGCCTCCCTGCTGTGGGAAGAGGCTCAAACCACTGCCGGAATGAACGCAGATATGCACCGACAGGATCTCTTCGAGAGCATCGAGAGCGGTTACTACCCAGAATGGATCGTGCGTACCCCTAGCCTACTCAAAGGCGATAATTGCTAACATTCTGGTGTTCAGTTTGAGGCTCAAGTCATGGAGGAGTCTGACCAACTTCGATTCGGATTCGACGTTCTCGACCCCACCAAGATTGTTCCCGAGGACATTGTTCCTTTCACTCCTCTTGGAAAGTTGACCTTGAACCGCAACCCTCGCAACTACTTTGCCGAGACTGAGCAGATTATGGTATGTTCTAGTGCTATCTTTACGGGGATTTCTAGTTGCTTACTTATGTGTCCCTAGTTCCAACCCGGTCATCTTGTCCGCGGTATTGATGTTTCCGACGACCCGCTCCTTCAGGGACGCATGTTCTCGTACTTGGACACTCAGCTGAACCGTAACGGTGGTCCCAACTTTGAGCAGATCCCTATCAACCAGCCCCGTGTTCCCGTCCACAACAACGAGCGTGATGGTGCCGGCCAAATGTACATTCCTCTCAACACTGCCGCCTACTCGCCCAACACCTTGAACGGCGGTTACCCCAAGCAAGCCAACCAGGCCGAAGGTCGTGGATTCTTCACTGCACCCTCTCGATCTGTCAGCGGAAACCTTGTCCGCACCGTCTCCAGCACCTTTGCCGACAACTGGTCGCAGCCTCGCCTGTTCTACAACTCCCTGACCCCCGTCGAGCAGCAGTTTGTCATTAACGCCATCCGATTTGAGACTTCGCACCTCAAGAGCGAGGTTGTCAAGCAGAATGTCTTGATCCAGCTCAACCGTATTAGCCACGACATTGCTACCCGCGTTGCTACTGCTCTTGGCATGACTGCGCCCGCACCTGATGACAAGTTCTACCACAACAACAAGACCATTGGTGTCAACCCAGCTGGCGAGCCCCTGCTCAAGATTGAGGGCTTGAAGGTTGGATACCTCACCTCTGCAGCATCTACTGGCGACAAGGGCAAGGCTCTCAAGGCCGCGCTCAAGGACAAGAAGGTTAGCCTGACGGTAGTTGCCGAGCACCTTGGCGAGGGCATTGACCAGACCTACTCTGCTACTTCGGCCGTTAACTTCGATGCCATCATTGTTGATGGTAGCGCTTCGGCCCTCTTCGCCCCCGCGGGCAGCCTCGCCAACTCCAACTCCACGGCTTCCAAGGCCCGTTCCACCTTGTACCCTGCTGGCCGCCCTCTTGAGATCCTCCAGACCGGTTACCAGTTTGGTAAGCCCGTTGGTGTTCTCGGAGCCAGCAACTCGACTCTGTCTGCTGCTGGTGTTGAGGCTGGCACCCCTGGTGTTTACAGCTTCGACTCTGCCAGCGATGTGGCCGCAGTTGTTACCAAGGTCACTGAGGGTCTGCGCACTTTCAAGTTCCTCGACAGGTACCCATTGGACAACTAAGTAGTGAGTCGTTTTCGGCAGTTTGTATATAGAGGGTTTTTTTTTAGATTCTTGTGATGAGTACTTTGGTTTAATACCAGGTGGATAGGTTTGTTGAAGTTTAGATCGGTCCGTTAGTGACAAATGCAATTTGGTGTTAGTCTGCTACTATTACTTGAGAAATTGGGCCAGCAGGGTCTGTGAAATGTGCCATGATTGCTTGTTTTCCGCCAGTCAAGCGTGTGAGCGCAAAAGAAGGTGATGTTGTGCGCGCGCATGTGTGCGAGGTGGGCCCGAGGGATTAATGTTGGGCCATGACAAGAGCGGTCTACCAAAGTAATGAGTGTCCATGTTCTGGACTGCTCAATGGGACCCACGACGAGTAATTTCACACCGTGGCCGAGGGTATGTCACATGGCAAGCGGCCCAGAGAAGATAGTCGGGATGTCAGTACTGGAAGAGGGAGCTCGGGTGTCTGCCACGCCTCGCCACGTTCTCCACGTTCTCCACACGGCGTGCTGCCGCTCACGACGTCAACGGCGAAACGGCGAACAGGGAGTTTGCAGGACGCGGCGATGCAGTGCGTGTGCTGGGGGGCTGGGCAAACACACGCGCACACGCACACACACACACAAACCAAAAAGGTCAGACAGCATCTGGGAGTCTGGCTGGGTGGTGCTCACGCGTGGCTCAGGGCACAGTGCAGGCCATGGGGGTTTGGTTTCCTGGTCTACGGCTGGTCAGAGTGGGCGGGGCTTGGCAGCTAATGCAGGGAAGGGCAGGGGAGAACACGGCAGGCCGAGATTATGGCTACCTATTACTACTCTACCGGCGCAACCCCGTGTGTGTGCTGATACAACGCTGTCGAACTCCTTACTCGACGTCTTGTCTTCTTTGCAAACACTGCGAGTTACACCCCCAAATTCCCCGTACGTTTCAGCCCTGCAGCCGGCTCGCACACCACCACATTACACATTCGGCGCGGCCTAGCTCGCTGGTCGCTCAATAATTGGCCGTCTTGCCCATCTCGCCGCTTCTTTGAGCGACGTTGCCAACACCGCCTTTGTACCCTACAAAGACAAGATACACACACATATATATACATACGCACAAACACGTCATGTCAACAGCAGCAGCAAGCAAGCCGCCTGCCACGAGCACGTCTCGTCGCGACGCCGCTGCCAAGACGTCGTCAGCTTCACCAGGGGCTGCAAGCCGCACGCCTGCCCGCTCCTCCACCCCGACTACCAATGGCGCCAGCGCAGTCTCGCGCACAAAATCTGTTCGTGGAGGCACCACCGGCGCCCCAGTCTCTGCACGCGCTGCCGTCAAGAAGCCTGCTACCCCCTCGAACCTGAGCAATGCGTCGCAGGCCGATGCTGACGAGGCCCGAGATGAGCAGGCCGCCCTGCTTCAAGATCTCAAGGAGCGCCTGCAAAAGGTAGAGGGCGAGGCAGAAGAGCGCCAGAAGCAGATCGAGGTCCTGACTGCTCGGCTGGACGAGGCGCTCGCAGAGCAGGCCAAGCTCGAGGAGCGCGCACACGAGGAGGAAGAAAAGGTCGAGGCGCTAGAGAACGAAAAGCGCGAGCTCACCCGCCAGCACCGCGAATTCGAGGCCATCTACGAAGCCGAGCGTGCCCAGGCGATGAAGGAAAAGGAGGAGACACAGGCACGACAGGAAGAATTGCAGGGCACTATTCAGCGACTCAAGGAGACCATGGCTACCAAGAACATGCCCACTGCTGAGCCTGAGGGCGAGGGTGAGCAGCACCTATCACGTACGTGTAAGTAGTAACCATTTGCCGTCAACACCACGGTGTGATCATGTGCAAATACTGACTTGGTTGCAGCGAGTTTCCGCAATGCGTCTTCGCGCAACAACTCTTCGCAGAACCTCGAGAATGTCGCTTCTTTCGCACCACCCAACTCGGTGCAGCGCAGCAACTCGCGCAGCAACTCGAAGCTCATCAACCAGAAAGACAAGATCATTGAAGATCTGCGCCTAGAGCTCGCAGAGTACCAGGTAAAGATGCTTGAAGTAGAGAACGCTGGTGGCGGTCGTCTGCGCGAGCTCGAGAAGCAACTGCTGGAGACGCGCATGACCAACGCAAGGCTCATGGAGGACAATGAGAGCTTCCAGCTTCTGCTGGGTGAGAAGACCCTTAACGGAGATTTGAGCCGCGGCGATTTCTTGCGAGAGGCTTCCAGTGCCGACGACCGCGCTCCATCTCGCAGCGGCCCTTCAACAAGCCTGGCTGACGAGCTTCAATCGGCAGAAGAGGGCGACGCGGAAGTTGTTCGCAAGCTCGAGACAGAGCTCAACAGCATGAAGGCCCAAAACCAGGCCCTCACTCTCTACATCAACAAGATCATTGGCCGCCTACTCACCCACCAAGGCTTTGAGTCTGTCCTTGGCAACGACGCCGACAACGAACAAGGAGGCCCCGACAAAAATAAGGAGCTTCCACCTCCCCCACCTCAGGAGAATGAGCAGCCCCAAGGCTTCCTCCAGCGCGCCAAGTCCGTGGCCATGGGTAACAAGAACAAGCCTCGGCCCCTCAGTGGCACCATGGGTCCGCCACCAACCCAGCAGAGTGCACACGAAGACCCAGCCACAGCACCCAGCATTCCCCTTACGCGCTCTGCATCAAGTCGCCACCCAAGCGGCAGCCATCGCCGATCAACGTCCGATGTTCCTGGCGCCGCTGGTATTGTTAACAACATGTACCGCCCCGGAGCGTCCAACCCGGCTTCGCCCGGTGTGGTCTCGCCCCGCAACTCCTTTTTTGGCCTACCAGTCAACAGTGGGCCAGGGTCCAGCAACCCCGTTTCCAGAGTCCCATCTGGTCAAGGCCCTATCCCAGAGGACAAGGAGGTGGATGCTCGCACCGAGTCTTCGTCGGCCAGTCACGTTGACACACCTAGCCCGCCGCGTCAGCTCGTGCGCAGTGAGACCAGCACTAGGGTCATGACAGGCAAGGGTATGCAACCGCTGCGCCTGGTCCAGAACGAAGAAGAGGCTATGAAGGCGCGCAAAGCTGCCAACAGAACCAGTTGGTTTGGTGGTCTCTTTGGTCAGACGCCACCTCAGCAGCAACAGCAACAGGACACTGCCTAGTTTGCGTCGTCGACTGGTCTGACTTGCTTGCTTGCTGGTTGGACTTCCTTCTTCTTTCATGTTTGATGTGAACTCTTTTTCTGATCCCCCTCATGTAAGTAACTTTCATCATCATCACGAGCCCAATATTTTTATTTTTGGATACGACGGCACACGGTACGACTTAATGCAGGAACAACAACAACAACAACAACTCAAGAAGAACGAAGTAAATGGCCAAAGAAATACTAGTTTTTTTTATTTCACAGAAGAAATGGGGGGGAGAATTGAATTGATGGGAAATATCGTGTCCATATGTCTTTAACTTTTTTTTTGAAAGTCGAACATATGGGCGGTTTTTTTTCCAGTATTTTTTGGGGTGCAACGTGGATGGATATGCTGGAAAGGATATGAAGAAGAAAGGAGTGGGGGGGGTTTTTTTTTTCTTAATCCATAATTATTGTTTTCTACTCTGTCCCTAGCCTCCCCTCCCCTTCCTTGATTCTTTGTATTACCCCCCACCCCAACGAAACAATGTATGTAGATAAGACGACCAAATCTCTCACATCTTTCACGTCTTTAGCTTAGTAAGTTTATTCTAGTCTTCCTTCCTTTTTTTTTGCCTTTCCTTCTCAGTGAAAATCGTTTACTTGTGAATCGTTTAAAATTCGTTCATTTACTTTCATCACACCTTCGCACATCTCCCCTCGTCATTCTCCCCCTCCACAGCCCACAGGTCCTAAACTCAAACTCCCCTTCCTCGCACTACATCTCGCACACGTCGCTCCACTGCGTACACGTCTACGCTGCGTCCCCTGCGGACATAGTGGCGGCGCTAGGCTGTGCGTGATGGCGTGGTCGCAATGTGTATACTGGATTTCCAGCACGTGCGCGCATGGTTGTGGGGGTGGAGAGGAACATGTGTAGAGGTGGATGTAGCACATGGGGTTTTTTTTCAGGGTGTGTTTCGGGTTGGTTGGTTGGTGTGTTTGGGGTTTGGTGAGTTTCTTATTTCTGTGTAAGAATTACCCTTTCCCCTCTCCTGTACAATGTAGTGTGTCTTTGTGCCAGGGTTTTTATTTTTATTTTTAACGGAGATATTTAGCCTCTGGGGTTGGATTGTGGGGTAGAGTATTTGCTTGTTTGGTGGTGGTGGTGATTGTTCGGTATAAGTATATGTGTTTTGAGATTTGTTTTTTGTTCGTATCTCTTTCAGGTACTGAATCCTTAGGACTGAGACGGGAAACAGTGTTTTGTTGCCTTGTGTTTGAAATGTCTTGGGTAGCGGGGTTGAAACGATGATTTGATGTCGTTTGGTTTTGTTTGGATGGCTGACGCACTTTGTCTCTGAGTGGGGGTTGGTGTGTTTGTGGATAGATTTGTCAGTATGATATCTGGAGAATATATGGTCACTGGCAGACCTGTCTGTGAAATTTCTTCTGGAGTCGTTGCGTCTCTGGTTATATCATAACATTTTCAATATCAACGCAAGCACAAAATCATTTGATTTTCTGTCACTCATCCTGTTGTCCACGTGTGCTTTCAATCATTGCAATTCTTATAAAATTAATCAAACATTATTCGTAGTTATGTGTAGCTCATTTCGTTCCAAGGTATTAGTAGACTTTTATACGCCTTATCATACAGCCAGGTCTCTCAGTCAACATGAGTGAGATTGTATAACGCCGTCAATGCACGAGTAGAACCCATGGGTGCCAGCGCCCATGAAGCTGCCAAACAATCAAATATCCCCAATCCCACCTAACCATGCATGATGAAAGCAAAGTCCTGAGATTAGTTCACAACATCAAGTAGTGAACCACAATCTGCCTAGTTCCCAGACCCCTCCAGAATCTATGCAGCAATCGTCTTTGGCGCCGCAGCTCGCTCGACCCATTCTCCCAATCCATGATCTGCAGTCGCCCAGTAGTCGCGCGTCTTCTTGTACATGGCCAAGCGTTCCGATAGACTCGGGATAGCCATGATCTCCTGAAAGGGAATCGGACGCTCCTCTACAGGCACATTTGTAAAGTCAATGGCAGTACCCGAGTCTGTGCGTTTGGGTTTGGCCCATGGCTGGGGTGGTCGGATGCTTGCCTCGGATATCTTGCGCTCTCCAGGAGGTGGGAGATGTTGCTCGTTCCAAGCAATCTTTCTTTGAGATGTGGTTATTGCGTTGTATGGTTCAAGATTGGTGGCGGTTGAGTAGATTGACGAGGCTGTGGTAGGACGGGCCGATGCGAGCTCTGGTTGGAATGTACGATTTTTTGATACTGAGGTGGAATTGTCTGAGTCGCTTTCCAATCCGATGCTCTGTCCTAGTCGTGTTGTGCTACGCTGAGTCCTTAGAGGAGTAGGACTGCCATCAGACCTTTCCACTTGGCTGTTCACTTGACTTTCTGGCAGATGCCTCTCCTCGCTTCCACGACGTGATCTTGAGTGAGGAGAGAAAGACTTTTGTCTCAATCTAGAGAAACTCTCCTTCCACGACAGGCCTGGTCGTCGTGTGTTAACCGGTACGGTATCTGAACGGCCGCGTGTTTCTAACTTGGCGCCGTCAGGGCCAGGCGGCGACCGTTCATTCGGTTCAGCTTCATTGTGACTGAAGTAGTTGTCAAGGCTTGAGCTCCCACTACCCATAACATTGACGCCACCGACATGTCGCGCGTCCATTGGCTGTGAGATGACAATTGTCTTAGTCTTAGCCATGACTTCGTTATGGTACCCAATAGGGAATTGCTGTAGATTGTTAATGCACAAGTGGTTCGATTGATGTGCGTTGACTGACTGGAAGCGGATTGTTTCGCGTATATGTGGGCCTTGAGCAGGTATATGCCGAGGGGCGGAGGATGCAACAACGTGAAAATTTGGTGATTCAAGTGCGGCGTGCGGAGTGAGAACTGTGTGTTTTCGATTCACCCCGACAATCGAGGCTATTATGATCTGCAGGATGTGTGATAATGCTGTGAGGATGCGTACCGGATGTTGAACTAGGCAACAAGTAGAGGACAATTGAATAATGCGTTCAAGAAAGAAACAGAGCAGGATGCAGGCCCATTGAAAGTCACGACTTAATCTCGCAATGATGCAACCACAATTGCCGTCTGACGTTCTGATACTCTCAACGTGGCTGATTGTCGGAGTTGGTTCGTCTCAGGCAGAATCGGGTCACCTGAGACACGCAACGTCTGTGAACCACGAGTGTAACTGCGGGTAAAGTCGAACCCGTCTCAGTACCAAAATCAGGGAGATAATAACCGCAGGACTGAACAATGTTATGGATATGTCCTGTAAAAGTCTCCTGGTATAGCCTTGTTATTGCCCGTGAGCTCTTTGATGCAAGTCGGAAAATCGCCTACCCATGCCAGGGTACTCTCGCGGACATTCTTAGGACAGTAGAGGAGTCTAAGTGGATCACGTTAATTCATGTCATAATCCTCTCTTGACGTCTTTTCAACAAGAGAGCAAAGTAGTGATACGTATAGCGTGTCTCCATAGACCGGTCAGGCGTGAGCCGAGGCATGTCTGCGGGTGAAGATCAACATCCTGCGCAAGCCACCAGGTATCACAACACCAGTTTCTGTGGAACATCCGGGCAAAGTCCTGGATAATATCTGGCGGTCAAACATGCTCCTTTGTGCCTGGTATAATGACGTCGAGTCTTTTGTATGCAATACGCGCGCGGCATGACCCGGAACAAACGCCAGAGAGAATAACAATCGCTTTGTAGCTGGTACACAACGTCATGTTACATCAAAGAATTTTGCAGGACAATACTGTCCTCTTATTCTCTGTAGAACGCGCGCTTCCTCTAGGCGAAGCGCACGATATCGAGCTGAAGCGAACTCGCGACGTGGACAAAGAAGTCCTTCTACGCGCGATCCTTCGGTATGCATTCAACACTACGTCCGGCCAGCGAGGCTGGATAAAAGGTGTGGTGAAGCAAGGGGTGTCTCCAATCATTGCCCATGTCTCATCCCAATTACCCACTTATTGGTAGGAATTGGCCAATCACACCTATTCAGGACTATGGCTCCGTTGCTCACGAGGTTAGCGGCTCCTCACCACCATCGTGAGGCTCCACAGCAACAGCACTTGATGTTGCTTGGACCCTCATCCAGGGGGCGCCATCATGCATTCTTGACTCTGTGCACAGGTAAGGCCGGCGGCTCTTGCTACGGAGACTTGCTTGACAGGTGCCAGACGGAATACTCCACCGTGATATATGCTGTATATAAGTTATCATACCTCATGCTGCCTGGAAGACATTCAACAGCCCAGCTCTGAAGATTCCTTCGCTCGTCGCTTCTCAAAGTATTCACTCTTTTTCTTCTTTTCATCGTTCCTGGAGAATCGATAGGCCGGTCCACTTTCGCTATATACCCTCCTTTAGACCCCCTTATTCACTTTGACGACTACGAACAAGACAAATCAGTGTCCCATATTCACTATGAAGAACACAATCATTGCCCTTGCCCTTGCCAGTGCTGCGGCTGCACGCCCAACCGCTGTCATGACGAAGCGTGAGGTTCCTCAGGAGCACTCTCATCGCAACGTCAACCTCGCTGTCAACACCCTGTTGCAGCAGAACAACCCCGCCAAGATTCAGGATCCTGTTTTTGCTCTACTTGGAGCAAAGGCAGCAGCAGAGGGAGCTGGAGACATTGCTGATGCTGGTAAGTTATTTCATCATCAGTACTAGTGCAGTGAAGCTAATCATTTATAGACTGCCTTCAGCTAGCCGTAGCCGACCAGGCCTTTACCAACGCCAAAGAGGCTGGTGATGTGGAGGGTATGACTATGGCGCTTATATACCGTGCTTTGGAGCGCAACACTGGCTCCGTCGGCCTGAAGTCTGTTCCCTGTGAATCGATTAAGGCAGTCAACCCTGAGATTGCTGCACTCCAGCAGCACCAGGACCCTGCTGCTGATGGCGCGCAAGCGCTCAACAAGCAAATTGCTGAAGAACTTGCACGCCAAATTGCTTCTATTGGTGGCGACCCATCGATGGCAAATGAGGCTTCTACATTTGCCCCTGGCAAGATTGGTGACCCTACCGGAGCTGGAAACACTTGCGATGACGCGACTGATGATGCCGGATGTATCAACACCCTTGGGCTTCGTGTTGACGATCTCAGTGAGGCCGAGATCGCTGCTGCAGTCGCTGATGTTAAGGGAGCTGCTAATGGAGCCGCAAAGGGAGCTGCAAAGGGAGCTGCAGCCGACAACAAGAATGCCAACAAGGACAATGAAGCTGCGGCAGAGCAGGCTATTACTTGCGGAAATGATGCTGCCGCCAGTGCAGGCCATGCTGCCGCCGCCAAAGATAATGCTGCCGCCGCCAAAGATGGTGCTACTGCTGCCGCCAAAGACGGCGCTGCCGCTGCTACCAAAGATGACGCTGTTAGCAGCAAGGCGAGCGCAGACTTTGGCAATTGCGACCCTACGATTGTCTTTGGCCTCCCATCTGATGGTCGCAAGGAGGATGCTTTCGAGCCTTCGGATCTGACTACCTTTAACCATGGCTCGGCCCAGAAGATTGCAATCATCTCCAACTTCATCTGCTCCCAGCTTGCCAACAAGTGCAGTGCAAGCGCCTCAGCTGTCAGTACCTGCGATGCTGCAGCATCTGCCGCTAATGGGCTTGAGGGCCAGGCGGCTGCGACTGCCTTCAACACTGCTCTTGGATTGTAAATGAAGGGAGGCCATTTGAGCAGATGTGGTGTGTAATTGAGCAATAAAGGCAAGATGGATGAACTGGATATGGAACCCTTTTTATGATAATAGACTTAGTCACGCGTAATATGACGCGAACACATCTTCAGCAGGGCATCGTTGTTCAATGTTTTGGTACCATGTGAAGTGACTTGGCATATGCGTGACATGGCAGAATCTTGTCCAAATCGAGAGGCCGACATGCAATGAATCGATTCTTGTGATGAAATGAAGCCGTAAGCTTGTAAATATGGTGGAGTGCATGTCGTCCCCGCACGTTGACTATTGAAGACTTTGTGGATTTGGAACAACACACGTGGAGCTTCCATAATGGGCGGCGATTCGGGCTTCGTATTGTGTTGAGCCCACTTTTTGACCCTCTGCAAACTTAGGATAGTAATTGCGAGAGAAACGGCAACCAATGACGCATTGAGGGAAGACGACCTGGGTCACAATATGTACGCATTAGGCGAGACACGTGCGCCTCTGGTTATTGGTGTGTGATAAGATGCCGCGAGCCAGACCGCTTTCGCAGCCAAGCGCGGGATGCAAGGAAAAAAACGTTTGGGAACTCCAGTCTGACTTGCAGACGGGCCAGAATAGGGGTCTCGCTTGTCAACGTCGACCTTGACGAAGGCCGCAGTTGATCGAGAATGGGCAACGAGGCCAGGCACGATATCGATAGATGTTGTGTTGAAGCGAGAAGCGCGTGCCACCGATCACCAGCCCACAGACGGAGACAAAAAGACAAAAAGGACCAGCTTAGACGAGTCATGCAGCATTTGCAGAGTTGATGTGTGTGCCGTCCGTGATGCCCCACAGTGGAGCACGGCCTCCAGACTGACAGCGAATTGGGGTACTCCAGCTTGCGAATGCATCTGTGCGGTGCAGCGCTGGCATCTTCTGGCGGCGTGCTGTTGGCTGTGGCCCACGGCGCGGCGGCTGCAGTGGGTGCGGAGAGTCCAGATGCGAGGGGTAAATCAGCAGGGTGGAGTCGGCGAGGCTGGCCGCGCAATATCGATAGCAATGGCAGCAGGAGAGTGGACGGGGTGGAAAAGTCGTGACAGGCATTGGTGCTTTGCAGAAAAACACAGGTTGAGTATCCGTATGTATGCAGGGGCCGTCGAAAAAGAGGGCCACCGCTGCGGTAAGCGGGCACGGGCCATCTGGTGCCATATCGGGCCTAGCGTTCGCATAGAGCGCGTTGGAGCGCGTCAGTTTCGCTATGTGGTCGTCTGCAGCGCTGGCAGCACCAGCTCGACGTGGCCGAACACATGTGCATAACACGGTGTTGTGCGCGAGGATGCAAACCAGCCGCCTCGGACACGTCCAAGACCGTTGCAACAACAAGCCGGTAGTCGTCGTGTGTTTGGTTTTTCGATGGGCGCGTCCCGAGGGCTGCTATCGACGATCTTGGCCATAGCCCGTGCTCCTGTCCTGGCACTAGCGGCCAACAGCCGTCCACGGGTCACCCGACTTGAATTTGCGACCCCCAACCATCACCTTCACACTTCACGACCTCACGATAATTCCGAGCCGATCTCGCCAGCCGCACGCTCGTCGGCCCCGAGACCAGGCGCCTGCTTGACGACTGTTTCCTTGCCTCTTCTTCTACTCCCGTCTTTCGTTTTGCGCGCCCCCATGGACGCCCAGTAAAGCGCCCACTTCGCTTCCGTCCACGGAACTGCTCTCCTCACCGCGGCTCACGACTCTTGCCCCCATCGCCAGCATCCTCCACCTCCACCGCCACCCCTCGCCACACTCGACGCGTCTTCCACCTCCTGTTGAGACTTTTGCGCTTTGTCTTTTGCTTTTGTTCCTCGCGCTATCGACATCGCGCCCCAGCACCCCTCGCAACGGCCAGCTACGCGCCTTTGCACACGCAGCTTGTCGCCCATCTTCTTGTCCGCAAGCCCCTCCGCCATTGCAACAACGCCAGTGATCCGCGCGTCCGAAATCGCGTGTCGTTGCGATAGTTGCACCCTCTAGTATTAAAGTCGCAGCTGTCCTGCTCGCACGTGTAACCACCCTGCAGCCGCACAGTCGCGTTTGCAGAGTTCCAAACACCTGTTCGAGCCCAGCCAAACAACCAGCGAACCCTTCTCAGCACTGTACGAACCACCTTGCCATTGTATGCATTGACCGCTCGTCGCGCGTGCACTGTCCAGACCTGACGACGTCGCTGAGACTGACCACTTGGACCCTCCCATCCAGGTTGAACCCGACAGCGTTTCGAAACAGTGGCTCGTCTCCTATTTCTGTGATACATCAGCAACCATGGAGTCTGAACGTTCCGTTTCCACCACCCTACCAAGGAACTTCATGTTCCACTACCGTGACGGCCCTGCTCCACAAACACCAGAGCCAGAGCCGCAACCAGAGCAACTGCAGCCACCGCCGCCTCCCCGCCAAGTCCTCAAGGTCCGCCGCCGTCGTGCCACCATGGTCATGAACCCCGACGACATGGACGCAGTCATGCATCAACAACCCATCCCCACCATTGAAGCGCCGGAAATCATGTCAGAAGCCCCGAGTGAGCTGCCATCCTACTCTCTGTCTCAGGACGACGCCTTCCTGTCTCCAGGCTTTAGCTATACTCGTATGATCTCTCCGCCAAAGACTCCTGCTCACCAAGTGAGAACTATCAGCCACTACGAAGGACCTCAAGACTGGTCAGACGTTCCACACGTCAGTCAGAGCGAGACCTCTAGCAGACCCACCTCATCATCCGGCTTCTCCGATTCGTCTCTTTCGTCTTGCGACAGCATCGGATCCTTCATGTCAAGAAGCGGCAGCTGCACAAGCCCAGAAGATGAATCGTCTGATCCATTCTCCTTCTGTCCGCCACTACCGCAACTTCAACGCCCGGTGTCGCCATTGATGAACCAACAACCAACACGCTCTGCCAAGAAGCTGAAGCTAAGGGCCAACTTCACAGAGGAAATGGACTACCACCTGTGGATGACTTACATGAATTACCTGCAGGACCCTACAGTGACACCCTTCAAGGCTCTCCCAAGCACTACACCACCGAATGGTGTATGTCACCGCGTGGCGAGGATGGCTCGAAAGACTTGGAAGGGCCCAAGGCAGGCCCGCGTTGGTGGACTCCGTGTACAGACTCAAAAGAGTGGCAAGCCCTTCGTGCGGTACCCTACCGAGAAGCAATGTCGAAAGCGTCTGCGAGATTTGGCCAAACAGAAACCCACCTTGTCTGCACACTACCAGCGTCTCCTCCATCGATCACCCTCACCGCTTCAATCCTCTCCACCTCCAGAGGAACCACCGTCGCAACCATCGCAATCATCGTCCTCTTCGGTGCCGCAACAGCCTTTGTCTTCACCTTTCTCTCAGGGATCGACGACCTTCTCGACCCGTGACATGAATCTCTCACTAGCGACCAGTACTGCTGCGTCGATGCAGTTGGGCAACCCGCTGTCACAACTCACCAAGGATATTACACCACGACCGACAGCGAGGACATGGTCAAGTGCCCGATCTTCTGCTCATCAGAAGTCGCAGTCGCTCCACATCGGGCTCGGCCTTGGGCTAGGCACTGCACTAGGCTCTCCCTTCCACGCAAAGCTCGAGGCCAACAAGCTCAGCATGAGCCAGAATACCGCACGCACTTGGCATGCATCGTCGACGTCTCAGCCACCACGTCTAGGCTCTCCTTTCCAGCTACACGCACCGCGACCAAAGTCCAAGGTGTTCAAGCGTCGTGCCCTTCACAACAGCTTTGAGGGGAGGGTGCGTAACCGAGGAGAGAGCTTCGTCAACGAGATTTTTGGAGCTCCAGCAGAATCGAGCCACCGTGGTGTCAGGAATCGTGGCTTCAGCCTGGGCGACATGACGGAAGGAGCACGACGCCTTCCTCTGGCCAACGACCCTTCGGGCTTCAACCCATTTGCAGACTCTCGTTCTGCCCTGCCGAGCCCACACTCACCCGCGGTAGCAAATGATGTACTCGGGCAGTCTACTGCTCGCCTAGGCTCACCATTTGTTAGCCGGTCAAACAACATGTTCCCTCGACCGACCATGTCGCACAGCTTTGAGGCTCCCGCATCGTTTGAGCAACGGTTTGCTGGTATGCCTAGCAATGCTACCCGCCTATAGCGGTCGTAGGGTTCGACGACGATTTCTTCCAGTTTGTTAGTGCGGCCCAGCACAACGACTGCATCATTGGCGTTACAACGGTCAGCCTCTTGTGCTATGGCAGCATATACTTGCCAATTTGCTCAGGACGGTGAGCCTGCTTATTTTGAAAAGCATTTCCTATGTTTTGTTTATACCAAACCGTACACTCTCGGTCGCCGACATTGTACTGATGGCGATGACGCCCCTGGTTGCGTTTACCGGGCTTACGACTTTGACATGATGATGCGGCTGAAAGTGTTTCCAATTCACTTCCGTAATACGAGGGCAGGGTGCTGGGAAGTCATGGTAGCATGCAACATGGTGTTCCATGAAGACCAGAAAGACCCTGACCCGATTTGGGCAATGAGGCAGGCCAACAGCCTGCCTCTGTCCTAAACCATCTCTTTTGTATACTTGATCATCTTGTCTTGATTCAAGTCTCCACTCCTTCTTAGCCCACTAGACGATGTGGTGCTTTATTTCCTTGTGTTTGTGTTTTTTTTGTTCTCCACCTTGTCACGACGGTCATGATGAAGGTTATGATGAATCGACGGGATATGGGCGTGAAGGGGTATTCAGTCTTCACGAATCTCAACGATTGTCTCGAAGCGTGAAGGACTCATACCTAATGTCTCTTTCTTTGAGCAAACTCTGCTTCGATGCGGAGGAAGGGATCGGCTGGACGGGTTGTGCGGGCTTGGACGAAGATGAGGATGGGGACGAGGAAAAGCCTGTGCACTCTGATAGATTAGCTGGTCCCGAATGATGACGAGTCTGAGGCAGACGAGCTTGTAATAATGATTGAATGAATGAATGGAATGGATTTGACTCGATTGAGCTGGCCTGGCGTGGAAAAGAGTGAGAAGAGGTGATGGTGCGTTCCACATGAGCCCCTCTTGGTGCAGTGAGCTCCGCAACGCCGTGCCGTAAAGTAGTTCCGTAAACGTGGGTGCTGAGCACAGGCGTCATCATCGTGTCTGTGCCGAAAACAGCCCCCATGACCCATGAATGACCAGGCACACACACTCATACGCACACATGGACGAGTACAGGCACACACACGGGCGCACACAGACTTGGAACCTAATGAGCCAAGCGCCGGGGAAGCATGTGCTGATACTCGCTAGGAGTGACCTTGCCAATACGGGTTTGATGTTTACAGCACAAGGGCAACAATGGCTCTTGAAAACAAACAAAGACAAGAAAAAACTTGTGCGTGCCTACACACCCTCTTATCTGCACCTGGCCCTGCAGTCAGCCGGACGGACATGCTATACGTACATAAGAATATACGATTTGCAGCCAGGGGCGGACGTCATTCGGAAAGAAATTTGGCAGGCGGGGAGGCAAGCGGGAGGAGAAAAGAAAAAAAGAGATAAAAGCATGCAGCAAAGAGTGGATGCACCAGGCCACAACGAGCAAACCGCAAAAGCTGAAGCTCTGGCGAGCAACCGCACGGATCAGTCCGTCTAGGCATTCCGCCGAGGCCTAACGTTGTTTGCTCGGGGTGGTGGCCGTAGCTGACCGGCGGCCGCCAGTTAGAGCGCTCGAGAGGGCAGAGAGAAAGAGAGCGAGAGGAGAGAAAAGAAGATCGACCCTCTTTTTTGGGGGGGTGCAATATATCTTTTTGGCACAGGGCCAAAAAAAAGATATATTCATTGTCAATATCAATGGAAATGAAATAGGTAGTGAGCAGAGGATGGATTCATTGCATGGCTGGCAGTGGCCAAGGATGGCTTGTAACCACCAGCCGCCCCCTCGTCTTAGCCGTGCCGTGTGCGTGTGTGGTGTGTGTGGAGAGGGCATGGTGTGAGTAATAAGAGTCAGGCTGTGTGGTTCTTTGTCTCGTCTGGTGGTGCGTCAAAATTCACGTCAAGACGCGTCGGGACGCGTCGCGATGTGCAATTGTGCGGCCCAAAGCGGAATGGCGCTGGGCTGGTGGCAACGAGGGGAAGCCGCCTAGTGTGCTCTGCAGCAACCTTGGTTACTCTTTGTCTCTTTGCATTGCACTAGTCGGGGGCCACCACAACATCAAGACGGGATTTCCGGCTGCGGGCACGACTGAGGGCTGCTGAAGGACCTCGTATCGGCTCATGGCTGCAGCTCGTGGTGACACCATATCACTCTTCGTTTCCATGGCGATATGCCGACTCGCGTCCTTCACCTTGCAATGGTGCGGCTGGGCTTATGCCATCAACCACCATCGGACTAATTGGCCCTTTCCTTCTGTCGATTGATTAGCAAGCCACCCTCCCCTCTCCACCACTTCCCACTGGTTTCACGCCCCCGGCTTACTGTGCCCATCCGTGGCCTCGCGACACCATCTCGCATGCTTCTGACGCCACTTGGACGCTGCATCCATGGAAAGTTTCAACTTGAGGCATGTTGGGCCCCACCCCCCTCTTCCCGGTGCCGGTGCCTGGAGATTCGAATGCGGAAGGTTGAACGGAAGCCTATCTGTCGGTCTGTGCCAATATAACTATGGCAACTGTGGCACACCCTAAACCCTTTGGTCCAGAGTTGGGAGTATTGAAGGCTTGACTAGACTTTGCAACATGCTTTGTATCTTGCTTCCTGGTCAAGGATGGCTGTGCCTGCATCTTGTTTCGTTCGTCACCACGGCCTACATACTTTCTTGTCCAAGGGTGGTCCTTACACTATTGCATCTGCTTTCTTAACAGTCGATCATCCAACCTCGTTAAGCTCCCCCCTAACACCTCGGGTTACAGTTCGATATATTCTATCTTTTGCTTTTCGCCTTATCACTTGCCCCCTGGCTTTTCTAGTTGCGGTCAATAAAGTATCACTTCAAACCGCGGAGTTCGGAAAGCTTTACCCCTCGGCTCTCAATAGACAGAAAACGGTACGCGATTTGCGTTCGCAGTAGCAATGATCAACGCACTCTGATATCGGGCCTTCACGGACGATCGTTAATAATCCTCCCCTGAACCCGACACAATGGAATCATAGTCCTACCATCCTTGTTACCGTTCAGCAAAGCAACAAGTATAATCTCTGACTGCCCATTGTGGAAATTCGCCATTCTTTTGAGAAAAACTCACTCGAGTCGATCCGAGTATGCCGCTACACCGAACCAATGCAAGGCTTGTCCACAAGAGTCCCGTTAGAACAGTACCTGGTCAACCCAGCTCGCTTAATAGATTCGTCATCAAACACGCACGAGGACATCAGAAGCCGTATGAAGTGGTTGAACAATAATCTGACGACCACGGGATCAAAGGAACCATCTCCATCCGCTGCCGCAGGTTGACCAGCATCGGCTATGCAGCTATACCTCATAGTATCCACAATGAATACGAATACAAGCTAAGTCGTTTTTCTCATTACTCTATATCATCGATCCGATGTAGTACCACTAAAGTAGCCCTCTATGAGAAAAATCAATCTCGGCGGTATAAAAACACACCCTCCAACGCCTAGCTATGAACACGGTCAATTATGGGGTATGATAACCAATCGTACAACATATGATACCCCGTACGCTCATTCCTCAGTCTTCACTGGATCAGCCCCCGTCCTTCCGTTTGAACCTCTAGGGGGGAAGGTCAAGATCACCTCTTCCCGCCTTTTATGAGGAAATATCACTACCGTTCCTCAATTGCATCTTGCTCATATCACCATTCTGCGGCATCTGAGCCAGCCAGGTGGGCGGTGCCATACCAGTCTGGTCGTGGATGGTGCTAAGCAGAGGAGGCAGACTCTGGAAGAGATTGCGGATCGGAGCCGCAGGATCAGCCATGCCCTCGCCCCCTTGGTTTCCAGTGTTCCAGACATTGATCTTGGGCTGCAGGCCCCTGATGGCTTGGCCGTTGGCTACAGCCAACTTCTCGTAGGTGCCGTTGGTGATCATGAGGTACTGCATTAGGCCTTGAGGTCCACCCAGGACATTGGCCATGTCGCCGTAAGCCTTTGCCATTGCGGATAGACCTTCGGCTTGGCGTTGCTGCGTGATGAGCTCAGCTTGAGCCTGGCGCTCCTGGGCATAGTACTCAGCCTCGGCGGCTCGTTTGGAGACGATGAAATTGGCTTCTGCCTCGCGCTCCTTGGCTTGGAAGTTCGACTCTGCATCACGTAGGCGGCGGAAGGCGACCGCCTCGGCCTCGGCCTGCTCGCTGTACTTTTTGCCCTCTGCGGCCTTTTCTTGAGCATAGAGTTCTCCATCAGCCTTTTGTTGCGAAGACTCCTTCTCAATCTTCGCCTGGACGACCTTGGTAGCTCGGAGACGTTCAAGCTCCATGAGTGCCCTCTTCTTCTCAACTTCCATTTGAAGCTCTGCATCGCGACGTTCAGCTTCGCGCTTAGCGTTGATCCTGGCTACGTTGAGGTCCCTGCTAATCTCAATCTCCTTATCGGTAAACTTTGCATCTGCCGTGGCCTTTTCGGCCTTGCGCTCGGTTTCTAGGACAGCAGTTTGGGCGTGGATCTTGGCCACTTCCTGCTTGGTCTTGCCCTGCTTTTCAGCCTCGCCAACCTCACCCTGCATGCGGGCGTGGGCAACGTCGACCTTTGCTTGGTTCAAAGCACCCTCGTGTGCCTTACGTGAGAGAAAAGCAAAGTACTCTGACCCTGGCGTGTCTTGCAGTTCCTTGACGTTGGCATTGTAGATGCAGAGACCGAATTGGTCGAGCTCAGATTGTACCTTGAAACACTCGTGAGCGTGTGATTGATTTGAATAGTTAAGAGGTGAGCAGTACCTGTTGAATGACCTTTTCCTTGAAGATCCTGCGCTCGCGGAACAACTCCTCCATGGTCATTGTGGAAACAATTGATCTTGTCTCACCCTCAATGATTCCCTTGACAATATCCTGGACATGGCTGCGCCCCTCAGCTACCGCAACCACTCCCTTTGATGCAGTTTGTGTCGGTCTGCCATCACTTTCGCCTGTAAGCAAAACAGCATACTTTTCCAACGCTTCTGGGTTATCCGCAGGACCGATTGTGAAGACTGCTGGCAGGGAGAATTTCAGCTTCTCAATCGTCATAGCCTGAAGCGACATGGAAAAGTCGAACGGTGTGATTGAGATTTTGGAGACTTTTTGCAGAGGGTAGACGAAGGCCTTTTTCTTGATGAGAACCTTTTGGATTCCTACTCCCGTGATTACGAGGTAGGAATTTGGCTCTGCGACATGGTACCACATGATGGCTGATGTTTTGACTGGACGGGGTTGAGATTGGTCGAGGCGATGTATGCTGGCGATTGATGCTCGATCGATGGAGTCGGTCGTATATCAATCGAGCAGAATTGGGGTATATGATGACAGGATGCGTATATGTTAGGCTAGGAAAGAGACGCCAGACAAAAGGGTCGAACAGGTATATATATATACCAACCAAGCGTGTTCGACTATTCCACACAGAATAAACGATGTCGTACCGTATTACCAAATCTTGAAGCGAAGATGATGGTGGATTTGCTATTAATGAACTATCCCAGAACAGCAGAACTGTATACCTTTATACAGCTTCAGCCTGGCCATGATGCGCTCTCACAAGTACTGCTACCGCAAAACACGGCACACTCAAATGTCGAGCCCGGTGAATGTATGAACAAAAGTGGTTAGAAGATCGCACAGACCATGTATGAGCCCAGGGACGGCAGCCAACCTGGGGTAGTCAGACCCACAATAATTCTGCCTTATGCGTTCACAGCCACAACATGTGACCTTACTCCGGAGGCCTAACTGGGTGTACGGATCTTTCCTTCAAAAGGTTTATTCTTACCCTCCCGGTGACCTAAAGCGTTCAAGTCTGCACTGCAAATCTCATGATTTTTCGGTCGTTTGCTCGGTCGTTTGACGCATTGGAATGCGATAGGCACATCGCTGTGTCTGTCTCAGACATGGACATATAACCTTTTTGCTGTGTGAAAAGCACTGATAGTGGCGTATCTGCCTGAATCTTTCCTTCTTCTCGGGCAGACATGGAGTTTGGTTGGCCAAGATGGACCGGCCCGGGTGGCCTCGGGTGTCCTTGATTGAAAGATGTCTGATTCGCTTACCCGTGTGTGTTTAAGGCATCCTGTGACCACCACAAAGTACGGCATTACGAGACAATGACTGTGGCGATACTTGGCGCTAGTTGAAAGACATCAGTTGTGAGGCGGAGACAGGGCAGATTATCGTGTCTGCTTTGGGTCAGTGGCTTGTCGTGATCGGTAGAAGACTGGTAACCGTTCTTCCGGGGTTTGCCATCGAACTACCGTACTACAACAGAGTAGCCTTGGAGACTTTTTGCATGTGGGAACAAGGCTGCTGTTACACCGTTACCAATTACACGACGTTCTTCGCCAGGCTACCAACCTCGACACCTCACACCCAGGAGCCCACCTATCACTCTTGGAAAGATGTCAGAGAAACACGAAAATGCCGCTCCACCACCATACTCACCCCACGCATTCTCTCCATCACCCTCAATCCTCGACCAACTAAACACCACACGCACCCAACACATTG